AGATGCCCTAGAAGGCATCCGGAGGCACAGCGGCCTACGGACTGGAAGGGGGAGGCAGGGAAAGAGACGAATTTGAATTTGGGGCTTTCCCCACCTCCCCCTTCCGGCAATTGGAAATCTTGTGGCTGGAGAAGTCCGTAGGTCGAAGATTTCGTAAGTGGAGCCCTGCGTAAGTCGAAGGTCCACTGTACGTGCCATCCTATCTTCCCTCAGTCTTCTTTTTTCAGGCTAAAGAGGTCCAGTTCTTGCAGTCTTTCCTCACAGGTCTTGTTTTCCCTGCACTCACTTATCCTAGTATTTAATAAAAAGGTTGAATAGCAGTCAGCCCAGGACGGAGATTTATGGTACCAACTGTGTATTCACCCAACATTTGCTCTACCCAGCCCACACTTAGTTAACTTGCTAATCAGAGTATCATGGGCACTTTGTCAAAGGCTTTGTTGAAGTCAAGGTAAATTACTGTACATCTGCAACATCCCCAGTGTCTACAAAAGAAGTTACCTTATCAAAAAAATGGGATCAGATTAGTCAGACAGGAATTGTTCTTAACAAATCCATGCTGGCTTCTAGTTATTACTGCCTTATTTTCTAGGTACTTGCAGAGTGGCTGCTTTATAATCTGGTCCAGAACTTTCCTTGGGATTGATGTCAGGCTGCCTGCTCTGTAGTTCCCTGCTTCTTCCTTCTTGCCGTTTTTGAAGGTTTTTGGGATAACCCAATTATTTGGCACTTCATCCAACCTCCATGATTTTTTTTTTAAAAAAGATAGTGGTCCTGTGGTTTCTTCAACCAATTCCTTCAATATTATTGGATGCAGTTCATCTGATCCTGGGTTTTTGAACTTCTTCAAGGTAATAAGGTATTCCTTGACTATTTATTTCTCAATCTCAAGATGCAATCCTACCTCCTCCCTTTGTATTTCACATTTGCCTGGAGGAGTATAGACTGCCTTTTGAGAGAAGAGCAAACTGAAGTTCGCCAGGCAAAAAATTGTTGAGATCTCACCAATCATATTATTATTGTTCTTGTTTTTGTTACTGCTTTTCGTAACTATTGATCTCCTTCCTTCCTTCCATTCTTAGGGATGTGTAGACCCGCAGAGTTGGATAAGTTGATGTGTTTACAGAACAGCCAAGCTTACTGCAGCCCTGGTGTTTGCCCTCATTATTCCATTGAA